CTAAAGTATAGGCATAAGTGGTGGGTTTTAAAGCCTGCTTCAGGGTGACAACACATGATAAGAAAAGGAAAGACCCAAGCAGGGGGCACTGGAAGGTACAAGGAGATCCACTTACCAGGTATTCTGAAATCTAAGGTAACTTAGAATTCCTAGAAATCCACAGAAAATCTGAAAGATAGACTTGATACAACCTAAAATAGTTCTAAGGGACTGTGCCAGCCTGAAATGTGAAACCTTATATTTTCATGACCATGTAGAATGAACTTTAGAAGAACGCTCACATGTATAATAACATTCAGACGTTACAACACACCTACCTCCCCAAGTGCTCGCAGTCATCCAAAAAAAGTCATCTAAGCAACTGCTTCCCAAGCAGTATGACTGGGCAAACTGATTTATTATGGCAACCTATCCCACAAGAAGCCTGAAGTTTAAAAAAAAAAAAAAAAAGCTGGGGTGCGGGGGATGGAGGAGGTGGTAGTGATTGTGAAACACAGGTAATAAAATTGCATTTTACCAGCTACAGGGCAGTCAAAGATTCAGTGAAGCTTGAAATTTCCCTCCCGCATGCAGATCAAAGACAACATCAGTCCCCTTCCAACTGTGTAGCACAATACACAATTCAATAAGTACTCTTCATCTTCCTCCAAAACCTAGGCAAACTGACATTCAGTACCTGAATCTGATCAAGTCTCTAGATTTAACTCTCAGTTTACAGGAAATGAGTTGGAATCAACTTGCTGTCAACGGGTTTGGGTTTTTGTTGTTGTTTTACAGGAAATAGAGGGGACAAAGAAAAGTGTTAAACACCATAAGGATGCAATTAACAAAAGCCAGAACATGGGAAAGAATCCAGTTTACAAATGAATTCCAAAGCAGAAGAGGGGGGCATAGCAGGAGCAGGAAACCTATAAATATTAACAGATACAACAACCAATTGCAATGCACATTGTTTATTTGGATCCTGATTTGAACAAACTGAAGAAACTGTTTGAGCCAACTTGGGAAATTTAAACACTGGCTATTTGATAATACTGAGTAATTACTATAATTTTTTTTATGTGTGAAATGGCATTGTAGTTTAATTTTTATCTTTTAGATAAAGACTAGGCATACTTAGGATGAAAAGACTTAATAACTAGTATTTGCTTTTTAAAAATCCAGAAGGCAGAGGGGAAAGTGAGTAAGGATATTGATGAAACAAGACTAGCCATGAGATGATAACTACTACTGCTGAGTAATGGATACATGGACATTCATTACATTCTCTATTTCTAGGTATACTTAAAATTTTCCATAATAAAGTTTAAAATGTTTGGAATCATCACATTTTTGCAGTATTTGATAATCTGACATTATTTTCCTCTTCAAACATAACTGTATTAATATATTTCCTAATACTGAAACACATTGTTGGAATAAACATTACTTGGCTACTCTTATAAAAAAAGTTTTAAAACATTACAATGGGTAAGGGCCCACCATGTACAAAAAATGACTTACGTCTGAAGCATATATCATATTAAAAACAATGCCTATTCTGATTCAGTTACATTATTAAAAAAAAAAAAAAATCCACTGCCATTGAGATAGCGACCCCATGGGACAGAGTAGAACTGCCCCATAGAGTTTCCAAGGAGCAGCTTGGTAGATTCGAACTGCTGACCATTTGGTTAGCAGTCAAACTCAACCAGTGAGCCACCAGGGTTCCAGTTATATTACAGTAAGTGAAAACTACATCAACCTGCAAAACTTCAGATTCTAGTCTCCTGTCTTGTGGAATATGCTATGGAACCTAAACACATCCCAAGGTATCTATGCCTTCATTTTTTTTTTTTTTAAATCTGTATCCAACTCATTTATTCATCCAGAAGAATATTTATTGAGTTCTATACTAGGCATCACACCAGATGTTGGGGATACACAAAAGAACAAAAAGAAGTTCCAGCTCTTATTAAGCATACTTCTAGTAGGCAGAAGAAACATCAAGTTTCTTCCCTTTTATTACTTCCTCTTATGCATCGCATGATGGAAATTTTTATCTAGATAGATTTATGCATAATTAGTGCATTTTTCTATTTTTAAATCAAAGATTTATTTAGCTATACACAATAAAAACATGTAACGGCAGTATTAAACAACAATAAAATCAACACTACTTATATAATAAATAAGATGGTTGATTCCTTAGGCTCTGACATCAAAAATATCAGAACACCCTTCCTTATCCATTACTAGTTTAATGGATCTCTAATATGAATTTACTCATAATCTAACAACAGACAAATAGTTTTATGTGCTGAAAAGTCATTAACAATATTTGTTGTCTAAAGTATAGTTTCATTCTCAAACGCAAAAATTTCTTTAAGTACTCGGGTTTCAGCTTCTCCGTATTTTGAAATGAACTCTCCAACTTTGGTTTATTTCCTTAAGGCAGAATTTCAGATTGCTTGGGCCCAAAAGGTCTACTGTCCAGGGTGATTCCATCCAATGCAAGAAATCCACAAAATAACCCAGGTATTTACCAGTCCAAGAATCTGTTGCTCGTAAATGCAGTGTATACACAATTGTCCCTTTAACAAATCACATTCATGTACCACTGCAATGGACTATAATTTTAAACAAGTCTGAATACATCATGGTGATTTAAATATAATGCTAAATTTAATCGCCTTCTCTAAGGTATTGATACTATTTCCCTACTGATACCAAGTACAAAATAGAAGAATTCCAAAAAGAGAGGCTGCAGGAGATTTAGGATGTGTGAGAGAGAGACCAGTGGAGCAGGGGAAGGATACTGCCAGGCCCTACCAGTAAAAAATGGAGCACTTCTTGCTCTCCCAACTCTGGCATATTTTTTCAAAATGCTCATTCCCTTAATGCAAGCCAATAATGGGAATCTGGAAAACTAACATTAAGGACTAAACAAAACAAGAAACAACTTACTTTATCAGTGATCCAAAACACTAAGTCTGAATCTTCAAATGACACAGACTAAGTTGATTCCTAGATTTATCAATTAAGTTAACAGCATGAATACACATATTAAATTGCTACATATTAGATGTCTGCCACAAAAGCACTCAGTGTTAACTGAACTGAAATGAACTATAGAAGCCTTCTGAAACTTACAAAATAACATACACAACACAAGCATAAGATCAGTAAAATAGATTCTGCCAAGACTCCTCTAAGTATCTATTCCTGTAATTATAAAATACATCCAGAATAACACACAAGTACAATACAAATACAATGCAAAAAGCCCAATACCTTGCTAATACTGAGTAGGAAAAAAAGAGGGGCTCAAGGCAAGAGAAGGAATTAGGTTTGACTTCTCAAAACTACCACAGGGCCAAGAGGGGTCTAGGTTAAGGATAGAAGGTAATATGGCACTCTGTGGTTCAGAGTGTGGACTGCAGAGCAAGACTGCCTGTGTTTAATTCTGAGTCTTCCGTTTACTTGGACAAGGTACTTTACCTCTTCATACCTTTTTCCTCACCTATAAGTGAAGTGGTAATAGTAAATTTCATTGAGTTGATGTAAGGATGAAATGAGTTAATACATGTACTCAAAGTACAATAAATAAAAATGTGCTATTAGTATTGAGATTGCACTCATACTTGCCTAGTAATCTGAAGCAAATGACTGTCAGGTTGAGTCATATAAATCACTATTTTTATAAGTTAAAATACTTTGAATATTGACTTTTTTTATAGTTCAACTGAGTACGAAAAGAAAGAGCTGTGAAAACAAATTGCTAAGAATGCCTACAGGGCTCAAGCCCTAAAGAGCTAGAGCTAACCTAACCCAGTAATTTACTCACAAAGCAGCTCCAAGACATAACTGAAGGGAAAGGATTTCTCCAGCAGGTTGAAAACTGTATTTTAGATAATAGCATACAATTCAGTATGACTGACCTCTAAGGCAACCAATATTTTATACTGGATTGATTTTGAAAGCTGAATTAGTATTTTATACTCAAGCATCTATTCTCTGTCCTACAAGTAACAAAGTGAATGTTCTCACAATTCCTAAAGGTACACACTGCACTTAATTGTTTTTTACTAAATGAAAAAATAATTCCTAACTTTTAATCACATATTTTATAAAGCTTTTGCTGATTTACAAGATTTTTTAACCAAAACGTTCTAAGAAAAGTTTTTAATCAACATAATTTATTGTTAAAACATATTTCATAAATATCTACCTTGATTTTTACATAGAATTATTCTTATTTTCCTCAATATTTCCAGGAGAATACGTTTCTACGATTTAATGACATCTACAATCTACCTTAAAGGCTGTCAACTTTTCCAACTGAAGTACACTGAAACCTTAAAAAATTACACCACAATTTCAAGGTAGCCTGATTTTCCACAAGGTTGTCTTACGAACATAACATAATGGTGAATCTTTAAAAGATATGTAAAAACATATAAGTAAAAATAATGCTAATATAAAGAGAAATTTTCCTCTATTAATAAAACTGACATGCTATTCTTAAAGTTTGTAAAACACTGATAACTGTTATATTATTACAATTTTTAAAAGACCAATGAAAAGGTCAGCCTACAATCTTCGGCCCATTTCCCCATCAACAGTTTCAGTCCTCTGAGTATCAGATTAAAGTCTTAAATGTCAAAGAAAAATGAACAACTACCGGATCATCTGGTAATCACCTCTTTATAAACCAATAATTTACGCATTTCATCCCCTTTTTTAAGTTGATATATAATTCACATACCACAAGTCACCTTTTTAAAGTGTATAATTCAGTGGTTTTTAGTACATTCACAGATAAGTGCAATCATCATTACAGCCAATTTCCTTTAGCTATCACTCCTCTATGCTCTGACGCCCTTCAGCCCCTGGCAATCCCTAATCTACTTTCTGTCTCTATGGATTTGCCTATTCTGGACATTTCACATAAACGGAATAAAAAAATATGTGGTCTTTTGTGTCTCATGTTGTAGCATGAGCCAATCAGTACTTCATTCCTTTTTATGGCTGAATAATATTCCACTGTATGAATATAGCACATTTTGTTTATCTATTCTTAAGCTGAAGGACATTTGGGCTGTTTCCATTTTTTGGCTATTATGCATAATGCTATGAACATTCTTCATCATTTTACCCTATTTTTTAAGATACTGAAACAAAGTTTTAAACTTAAAGCAACTCACACAAAGCACTGGCAGAAGTCTCTAACAACCCTAAAGTCAAACTAAGTGATGATATAATTTCAAGCAGTAGCATCTCCTTCTTTAGGTAGAGATTCTGGTCTTGCGAGTTCATTCATTCTATATTAAAAACCATCTGGACAAGTGAAACAGAAAAAAACCTTATCTACTTTTACAGACCATAAATAAACAGGAAGGGCAAGGTAATAACATAGAAAGCTACAAAATACTATATTTTACATTTCCTATGTTGACTTTATCCAGTTTTTTACAAAAATTAACGTATCTCACATTTAACTTAAATATTTAAATAAGATTAAATTTGTTACAAACTACAAATTTGTAACTGAAGACAGGAACATACCAAATATGTACGTTTAAAGTATCTGTAAATTTGTACAGTTTGAGCTGTCTTTCTAAAGCAGTACACCAAAAAATTCCTGCTAAATATTCAGGACTAACCTAATGAATTTGAGAAGATTCAACCTCCAAATATTTATTTTTGGTAAATACAACAACCAAATTATCCAAATTTGCAAAGCTGGTTGGAGGTTAAAATTTATCCTATTGTTTGGGAGCAAAGACCGATTAACTTTCTTGATTAGTGATTAAAAAGCAAATTATATATTAATTATATAAAGCAAATCTCTAAAATTAATCTGCTTGAAAAATATGCACTAAAGAGTTTTGATTCAAATTATATGTAAAGTGTCCAACAACCACTAAATGTTACAATTGAAACAACAGTTTGCAAAGTATTATTCAGTAACTTTCAAGCCAATACTTTTGTTTGCTTTAAAACAAAGGACAAGAAATGTTATCAAAATAATGCAAAATTATTCCTCTACAAGTAAATAACTTGCTCAGAATATACCATTCGAAAAGAAAAAAAAAGATATTTTTTGAGATTGTGGAACTATACCAATTTTTAAAAACAAAATCTGTTTTAAGAGAATTAGAATTTTTTACATCTATTTCTTAAATTCACAGCTTTGCCTACCAGTTATGAAAATTAACAGCAAACAATGCCTTTTTTAAAAGACGATATTTATAGAAGAAGTCTGCATTTAAAAATGTACATCTAGTAAGCTATTAAAGGGAAGTATTCATTAAAGAAAAAAAAGACAGACTAGTAATCTACAATTTCTTTTTGCTATAATTTTTAACAACCTACTTAAACCAATTAAATCTAGTTTGTCACATTTCCAGAATATCAAATATACCCGGTACCTAATTTTTAATTCAAATTCAATAAATATTTATTGAGTGGTCTACTATGTGCCTAACACTATGCTAAGCACTGGGAAAAAAAATATCCATTTTGGGTTTTCCTATCTTTCTCCCTCCTTGTCCTAATGGCCTACACGTATAATCACTTGACGAAAGATGCCAGCAGGACACTGCTATCCTCATTTGCTACACACTTGACTTAAATTTATACTCATAGTCTCTAAACTCAGAATTCAAATAAATACCAACTCTGAAAAAGAATTCACAAGAATCCGTTTTTCTGTAGGGTACTCATCACTGAGGGGTAAAATTCTTCTTGTACGCATCATGAAGGAAGATCCTTTTTCCATGTTGTTGGCAAAACTGTCAATCATCTTGATGAGCAGCAAATAAATGAATGCCCAATGATGGGATTCTGTATTATCCTTAAAAAAGAAATCCATCAACTAAACATCAACAGGTAAATGTTTATACTCGACAGCCATCAATTTCAACTATCCATGCAAAGAGACAGGTGAGCTGGACTGGTAAACCTCGAAATTAGAGAAGTATTAATCGTCTGCTTCCAGCCAATATAAACAGATGTTATTTTTAAACGGGCAAAATCATCTCTTCCACTGAAATTTATTTGCAGCAGATAATGTTCTGTTACATTTTTAATCAAGCAGATGAAGTTACATTTAAATTGAAAATCTGCTTCACTCAACTAATCAGGCAAGTAAAATTCAGAGATGACTGAATGGCATTACACAGCACACTATTACGGCAGGTAAATTGGGAAATTTACCTGTCACACCACACAGCGTATTGTTCAGCCACTGCATCTGCAACTTAGAAGCAAAGCACTAAGACAAAAAGGGAAAGGCATGTTAAACAGATTTATAAACCCATCATATTTTATGAACACATTATTAAGGCTACCCGTAAATCAATAAATAAATTTTAAAAAGGAAAAAAGACCACACACCATCTCTCTGGGACTTGATGAAGATTTACATGGGTTATGCTTATCTGTTTCATGTAAATAGCATGCCTGGTTATTCTGAAGATCAAGATACAACCCAGGCAAAGAAAAAAAGAAGCGAATTATTTACATTACAACAAAAGGCAAAGAAATAATGACCACATATCAAGAATATGATGGTCAAACACAAGAAAGGGAAAATACTTCAAGAAGAAATAAGACAAAATAAGCATCTTAATTTGTAAAATAAAATCACTAAGGCTATCACTGATCTGGGCAGACCATTAATTTCACGTACAACAAGGACAACACATCTAGAATATTGTCAATTCACCTCATTTAAAAAAAAGCCTGGTCTATCTTAGTCAATTGTAGTTCCCAATACAGTTGGAATGTTAAGGTTTCTAAAATGCCTTCAAAATTTACTCTTACAGATACCCAAAAAAATACAATGGCTATTTCAGTTGTTTCTTTCAACTGAAACTCAAAATTTAGTTTTAGTGCTTTACTATTTATAGTCAAATATTTTTGCTGCAACAACTGAACTTCCTATGACTACTTGTAACATTAAATTTGAGGTATTCCAATGTTATAGCTTTTATGTCTTTTTTATAATTTAGTTTTATCTTCACAACCACCTTTAAAACATATAGGCTTATGTGCCAAAATACATAGGCACCATATGTAAACGAAATATACAGGCTTATGTGCCAACCATTGTGCCTCTTTTCCAAATACAGACACAATATATAAATGAAATATATAGTCTTATATGCCCCCCATTGCACTGTTTCTCTTCTTTTCCTTTCTACCTTCTTTCTCTTCTTGCTTCCTTCAGGTCTCCCTTCCCTCATTCCTTCGTTTTTCCCTTCCTTCTTTCTCTTTTTTTTTTGGATGGCGGCGGCTAGAAATAGAATATAACACTGGAATGTGCTCTAACTTATAAAGACAAATAATGTGAACCTAGCTTAATTTTCCATTAGGTGGAATGGATTTAGACTCACATATCCACACCTTGTCATGGGTTTAGCTAGTAAAGCTAGCTGAAAATCATATACTCATAAGCATGGTGTTTTAAATGTCAGGGTGTCATTGTTAGCAAACTACAAATACTTTCTGCTTTTAAATGCATAGATGAACAAGTGGAGGAAGGCCAAAACGGTACAAAAGCTGTAATGTAACTGAAAGGTGTAGGATCAAAAAGTGAAGAATGAAAAGAAGTCAACAAGGATATAGGACTTGAAGGCTTGCAAAAGAAGATAAAGAAAAATGAGGAACAAGTACATACTAGGAAAAATGAGTAACAATCACCAACATGAGATTTGTTGGTATAACCATGGAATGATTTCCAGCTCCAGTTTATAGCAACAATTTAGAAACATAAAATTTCTAAAGTTTTGGAATTCTGTTATATATGAAGTAAACAGATACAGCATTAAGATACCAAAGGTATTTTCACCATTTGGATTAGAAACAGACTCATGATACATCAGAAAATATACAACTATGCTTTTAAGGTAGTTAGAATAGTTATCAAACCTATTTGTAAGTATCCTCAAGATTTCTTTATATTATTATTTTTTTTAGATAAATTCGTTATTTCAGACTAAAGTAGAGTTGCATAAGATAGTACAACTTCCTGTATATCCCACACCTAGTTCTCTCCATTGTTAACATTAAAATTGTTTATTTTGGAGTTCAAAAATGGTTGAATATTGGTGATTTCACGTGGTTCCATCTATTGGATCTCTCTTGAGCTCAGCTAAGTTTGTCTCCTATTTTGCATTTTTTTCAATAAACTTTTTACTTTATAATACTTTTCGATTTACAGAAAAATTGTGAAGATAGTATTAATTCCCATATGCCCCTCACTCAGCTTCCCCTATTATTAACATCCTACATTAGTATATTTTTCACAATAAATGAACCAACACTGATACCTTATTGACAAAAGTCTGTACTTATACAGATTTCTTGAGTTTTTACTTAATGTCCTTTTTTTGTTCCAGCATCCTAGCCAGGATCTCACACTATATTTAGTCATCATGTCTCCTTAGCTCCTTTTGGCTGTGACAGTTTCTCTCAGACTTTCCTTGGTTTCGATGACTTAAACAGTTTTGAGGAGTACTGGTCAGGTATTTTGTACAATGTCCCACAGCTGGGATTTGTTTGATGTTTTTCTCGTGGTTAGACTAGGGTTATGGCTTTTTAGGAAGAAGACCAAATACCTCTCAAGTGCCATTCTTATCACATCATTATCAGACATAAATACTATCAACATAACTTATCATTGATGCTAGCACTGATCACCTGGATTATCTCTACGTTTCTATCATAACCTCAGCCTCCACAAAAACTACATCCATACTTTTCTGAATTCCATAATGATACACTGCTATTCTTCACTGCTGAAGGTGACAATTTTAACAACTCCTCTGTCTCGATGTGGCTCAGAGGGGGAAAAAATACCAAGAAACAATCTAGCTGTGTTCCCCATACTGCACAAAGATTAGTCTTGGTGTTACTACTGGCAGTAATTATTCCAAGCCTGTGGCTATTTATGACTTGGCTCCTTGCTTTCAAAGCTGGGCCAAAACAAAGGTCCTTGACCTTGGCTGCTCATTAAAATCATATGGGGAAGTTTCAAAAATACTGTTGCCAGGGCCAATTTAAACAGAATTACTGGGGGTAGGGCTTGGGTGGGCATCAATAGTTTTTTTAAACTCTCCAAGTTATCCTAACATATAGCTAGGGTGAAGAACCACTGGTCCAAGGCCTTAGCTCTATCTTGACTGCAGTTCAGGCTGATCTGTCTTCCCACTTACAGCATTCATAGCTATGCTATACTGCTTGGGGTTGTACATTTCTTGTTTCTTCAGTTCTTCCCCTAACTAACTCTGGCTTCAAAGAACCCCATAGCCCAGTGACACTGCAGTGCTATTTGAACAGTGGCAGATTAAGCACAGTCAGAGGCAGGGGGCAGTTCAGAATCACTGCTGATGAAAAAATATAAATATTCCAAGGTAAAGACCACAAATGGCTGGATATCAAACCACAAATATAAAAACGTTCTGTATTCCCCCCAAAAAATACAGTAATAGACTGTTGTTTAAAAACCCGGAGATCACTGTCACACTGAAACAACAATCTATGGGATGGTCGAGCTCCTAGGCTAACTTAACAAAAGTGTTCTTAACCCATAGGCTAAAGAAATTTTCCACTGAAACATGAAATTGCCACATTACATCAATTTCATGTGGTATAACCTAATACTATGCATTTTCAATAAAAGTCAGAAAACAGCTAATAGTGTTTAAACAAAACTAAAAAACTTATTTTAAAAAATTTGTTTGATCTTAAATGCTTATACTTGAGGGAAAGGCTGGCCAGATCATATGGTTGGTAAGACAGATAATTCTATTTACACATAATGAAAGGGACAAAATGAGTTTTTGACAGATGAGAGTATAGGCTATAAAATGGGGAGAACTTCCAGGAGAGGACTTGAACTAGCAGAGGCAGAAGAGGTGTTGGGAATCACAGAAAATGAAAGCTAGAGCTACAAAAACAGAAAAATGAACACTGTCATTAATTTAGAGATATGGTTCCAAGTGATATAGGGCTTATATTATATAAAATTGTTACATGCTTAAAGAGAGAAGGTAAGAACTTCAAAAAATGAGGGCATTTATATATTCTCATAGTGGGATGATGATAAAAACAGGATGAATAAGGTATTCTTAAGTTTATTATATTAACTTTCATAAAGGACCTGGCATATAGTAAGACACTTAGTAAAAGTATTTTATTTTCCTAGATAGTAAACACCCAGAGCCCTTCAATAGTACTATAATCAAGGATGAGTATGGGAAAAATAGACTCTCCTTCCTTTTTTTCTGAGTTAGTACCAGCTGCTAGGAATGAATAAGAACCAAGCTAAATATAAGTATCTTCAACATATACTTGTCATAAACATTTTTATTCAAATTAACAATTATGAACCACTTCTCAATCTTCTGTGCGTTCATGACTTTAAAATTGTATTTCAGATTCTGTTTTTTTACTTTACATAACCATTTTTTAGTAGTAACAAAAACACTGTATAAACATTTCTGAGGACCCACACAGTGTTCCATGATATAGATATATAATCAACACTTAATTATTCCATTTCTGCTGTGCATTTATGTAATTTTATTTTCTAAAAATAATAATACATTCTTTGCACTTACACATCGCTGATGGGGATATAAAACGGTACAGCTACTCTGGAAAACAGTTTGGTAGTTTCTTAAAAAAATAAAATTCAACTACTTTATGACCCAGCATTTGTACTCCTGGGCATTTATCCCTAAGAAAGGAAAACTTATGTTCACATAAGAACCAACACACAAATGTTCACAGCAGCTTTATTCATAATAGCCAAAAACTGGAAACAACCCAGCTATCCTTCAACGGGTGAATGGTTAAACAAACTGTGCATCCATATCATAGGATACAACTCAGCAATAAAAATGAACAAACTACTGATACACACAACAACTTGGATGAATCTCCAGGGAATTACACTGAAAGAAAAAAGACAATTCTAAAAAGTCATATACTGTATGATTCCATTTATATACCATTCTTGAAATGACAAAATTATAGAAATGGAGAAAAGATTTGAGTTGTTAGGGGTCAGGGACAGTACGGGCAGGGGCTGTAAAAGGGCAACATGAGGCAGGATCCGTGTGGTGACAGAACTCTTCTGTGTCTTGACTGTATTAAATATCAATATCCCAGTTGTGATACTGTACTACAGTTTCCCACTGGGGGGAACTGGGTAAAGGGTACACAGGATCACTCTGTATTATTTCTTAAAACTGCATGTGAATCTACAATTATCTCTAAATAAAATGTTTAATTAAAAAAAAACACATCCTTTACATATAAAGAGTTTTTCTGTGTTTCAGATAATTTCCTTATATCGCTAGGTCAAAAGAATCAATCATTCTTTAAAGCTCCATCTATTACAAAATTATTTCCTGAAAAAGCCATGCCTTTCAACATTTCTCCCAAGCTTATATTATTCTACTGTTATGTGGCCTTCAAAATGTAACTCAAGCTTCCCCCTCCTTTCCTCTCTTTACTGCACCCTTGGGAAGGTGCCCTGCGCTGTGTTCCAAAGCATCCTACACATGCTGTGCTTATTAACCATAGTGCTTATTAATCAGTTTCACAGTTTTTTACTTGTCTCTACACACAATTATAAGTTCCTTGACAGGAGGAATAATATCTTCTTTATCTGTGTAGCTCCAGTTCCTATCATATAGTAAGAGTTCAACAAATGTTACTAAATTAATGAATGAAGAAATGAATCAACAAATAGTATTTTTTAAAACATTCTCATCGATGTGCATTACAACCGTTAAGACTTTCTTGGGTGGGGAAATGACGATACCGCTAACACATTTAGGATGCTGTACTGTCAGACTGGCTTAAGGCAGAAGACAATGAGTTTAGCTGAGTTTATGATGATTATGTGACATTCGAATGGAGCAATCCCACAGGAATGACTGGCGGGTCATGACTGGTGACTCAGGCTTTGCAATCACCTCCAAAGACATGACAGTTGAAAACAGGAAAGAGAAAGACAAACCAGCAACAACAGAAGGGTTGTCAGGACATAAGAGATGAAAGTCAGAGGTGGAAGGAAGATCTGACTTTTCATTGGAAATCTTTTTGTACTGTTTGAAGTATTTTATCATCTACATCATTTTCCAAAAAATAATAAGATTTCATAGAACTGTACAGAGAGAGGAGAGAGAGATAAGAGAATCAGGATTTTGCTGCAACAAATTCATGAAAGGATGGAGAAATTTCAAGGAATGAGCTACAAATCAATAAATAATAACCAACAACCCAACAGATAAATGAGCAAAAAATGCTGTCAAACACATCAAAGATTTTCAGCCTCATTCACATGAGAAATGAAAACTATAATAAGACATCATTAAAAAAAAATCTTAAACTGACTGTAGGACATGTGAAATAAGCACTCTCACACACGGCTGGTGGGAATGTACACTGGGACAACCGCTACAGAGAGCAAACCTTTGATCCAACAACTCTACTCCTAGAAATCTGTCCTACATATATGTGCACATGTGAAAAATGACATCTGAACAAAGATATTTATTGCAGCATTTTTAGAAATAATAAAAGGCTGAACACAACCTAAGTGTCCATTTAAGAAAAGACTAGTTAAATAAAATGTGTCCATATAATGAAGTACTATGTAATTGTGAAAAAGGAAGTGGCAGCTCTATATATTCTAATATAGAATGGTTGCCAAAATACATTTCATATAATCCTTGAAATAATTCTATAGTCATCTACATCATACAGTTGTAGAAACTGACCCTTACAGATATTAGGACTTGCCCAAGGTAATACAGCCAAAATTTCAAAACATGGTCTAATTCCAAAAATCAGGTTATTCCTGCTACACAATACAACCACACAGATTCAATCTAGAAAAGTAAAGATGGCAGCCATTAGAAAATTAGTGAGTGAAACAATAACAAGAGCCAAGTGGAAGTTTATCTCATGAATTTGTAGTGGATTCAGGCTAGTTGCTGTTAATCAGAAGACTCTGATATCTGCTGCACCACTACAGATCACATACTTAATGATCAAAAAAGAAGTTTTTAATCTGATTAAATGTTAAATGTTCTTTAATGACCAAGAAAAAAAAATTACAAAATAATATGATTACACTTAGCTCTATATAATAGATTTGCTTCTGAAAAGCAGTTTTGAAGTTTTATGATTAGATTTTGAAACACACCATCAGAAAGCTCTTTTTAAAAGAAATTCCATGGTAAATCATTGGAAACATACCATCTAATTCTGTTTTATATCACATTTTCATACACTAGTTTCTTAGTACTTATAAGATAAAATGCTATTTAAGCAGTTAACTACAGCAGCCTACATGTACATTTTCTTATTCTAGTAAGTGGAAACTTTCATAATCAGTCTGCATTTTGAAAGGCTGAGAGGATGAACTCTGGAAAGGATTATTTTAAATCTTCAAAGTGAAAAATAAGACATCAAGCAAAATAATAATTATTACACTACTGCTTATTCAAGTCACTGACAAAAACTTGCTAAAATTAAAATACCAATTTTGGTAGTATTTTATGAACCTCTATAACACACTCACTGTATTTTTTAATTATTTTAAGAAGAAAATGTCTTTTAAAATACCTACTGACGAAGGGTTTATAAATATTAGAATTATGCACATTCACACACTGGGTGACATTTCCTTCTATTAAAGCGTTAAGACAAGGGGTGGAGGTATCAATGTTTAAAGTTAAAAACCAGAGTCTGTAAAAAGAAAATACTCTGTAATGCCAAAATATCTCATAAAATTCAGAAAACGATCAAGAGTCAAGCTATAAAAGAAAGGATGCTAAAGACTATTTTAACAGCACAAAAATAAACTTTGTATAAGAAAATAGTAATACATGTAAATCTTAATGGATCTTCTTAGCTATTGGAGCTGAACAGCAAATTTGAAGACTTAGTTAGGGTCTGTATAAAGAACCTAAACAAAATAACACATCTTCTATACACAATCTCTTGTTTTCTCTATATTTTGCCTCTAATCTCCATTTTGTTTTTAACTGACAATTTCATAGATGTAGAAGAGGCACAAGTCCCATCAAAATGCAATTATCACTTCTCAGTAAACAACTGAGTATACAAAATTTCTTTTAATAGACTTGGTAATCAATCAGGTCAACATTACCGACAGAGTAAAAGGCCACTTACTAATATGATTAAAGAGATACTGGGAGGGTATCTACCCCAAAATAGTATTTTTCCACCTGATGAAATTCATTCCTTTGGACCAAATGTAAATAACATTGAAAAAAGTAGCCCCTTAAATCATTATAAACTAAGGCACAAGTAAAGCTTATTAGCAACTAGTCTGCAGAACTTAAAGTCCTCTAGAAACTAAGGTTAAGGCACTGAAAAGCATCAGCAAGAAAAAAAAAGTCCCTGAAGAGGTTGAAGAGGATGCTAAAGGAGACTTTCATTAATTTCCCAATTTTGTCTATTACTGAAATTAACAGCACTTACAAGCAGCATTTACAAATACGCTAACAACTCTCCAGCAGTAGAAAAGGTCACAGCTAGAATTCTGCCATCTGGTTCTCTCCACTACCCGTTAACTCCACCCCATTTCTAACTAAAAAATACAAGGTGGATGAAAAGAGCAAATAAGCAACAGAGTTTATAGAAAAAATTCAGTTTTACATGTTTCTTTCCCCTAAAGTTCTTTCTGATGTGTTACTTCCAATTTTAACTTACTACAAATAAAATCTAAAAAAATACAAGTGTATTTTATAAACTACTCTCAAACATCTTATTATAATTGCTTCAACCCTACATAACTGTTAATACCAGTTAGCTACAGCTCTGCATCCTGTGAGCTTTTTTTATTTTTCCCCTAGAAGAGGAGAAAACGATTCCTTGCTTTCTTTCTTTATGAACTTAAACCTGTTGAGCTTTTGATCTACAATTTAGTAAATATATCCTATCCTCTGGAGCCCTGGTGGCGCAGTGGTTAAGAGCTTGGCTGCTAACCAAAAGATTGGTAGTTAAAATCCACCACCTGCTCTTTAGAAACGCTATGGGACAGTTCTATTCTGTCCTATGTAGTCGCTACGAGTCAGAATTGACTTGACAGCAACGGTTTTTTTTTGTTATGTTTTGTATTTTTATCCTATCCTCTAGATGAGGTCTCAAAAGCCTAGAAGAGGACAAATTTTCCATACATCTAACAGCCTTGGAGAGTCACACTATTTTATGGCACCTAATAATTGACATTAGCATGATAATCAAAAGGTATCAGAAAAACATCCATATATTCTGTTTAAGAAGGTATTTGAAAAATTCTCAGCAAAATCGGTTAAACTATTTTAAAAGTGAGAACACCTACAAGAGAAAGCTTCTTTTAAACATTAAATGGCAAGGTTAGATTTTTTTCCCCAGTATCTTACTATGATTTTCAAACATGCAGAAAAATACAAATAATAGTGTAATGATCATCTAGGTACCCATTGTTGTTGTTAGTTGCCATCAAGTTAACTTAGACTCATTGTGACCTTAGGCATAACAGAACAAAACATTGCCCTGTCGTGGCCATTTATTTGGAAGAAATTCTAGGAAGAAATGCCTAGGGGTTCCAAAAATTAGCGATGAAAACCAGTACCTATTATCTAGTCAAAATTTCTCAACCTCAGCAATATTAACATTTTTTTGTAGTGGGGGCTGTCCTGTGCATTGTAGAAAGTTCAACACATCCCTGGTGTCAACCATCCCTGCCCCTAGCTGTGACAACCAAAGAGTCTCTAACCCATTGCCTTGGAGTTGATTCCGACTCATAGTGACCCTAT